TCTGAGGACTGGCTGGTAGGTTTGAGCTGCTGACCTTGTGGTTCGCAGTCCAATGCTGATCCTACAGTGCCACACTAGAAATCCTTTGTATTAAGGACCTTTTTTGCATAAAAAAATTAAAGAAACACTTCCTGATACATCAGATATTCTTAAACTGTTTTAGTGATTATAATAATAATCATGTTTTAATGCATGTTGCAAAGTAGCGCCCCCTTGTCATTGAACCATTAAAATTATTTCAAAATTTTAATACAAAAGGACTTTTAAAAGTTCTTGAAAAAAGTGAAAATTTCTACGAACCTTTATAAGCTGGATGTTTCTAGCCTGGGGACTGACTGCCTGTACTTCCATTCCTAGTTTATGTGAATATGACCTTTAGGTAGCACAGGTTTGTCTGAAGGTGAAAAAGAACTTGAAATTTGCTATTTTTGTTAGTAAGGAAGATGAATAAAGTTAATATTTGTTCCTAGTGCAGAAGGAATTGGTGAGTAGTTGAATTTAGACAAAAGGGAACGCTGCTGCTATCATAGCATTAATAACATGTTTTTTCTTACTAGTAGTCAACATTTCTTCGTAAGTTTTCTCTGAAATCTTAAAAATTATCAGTGAAGTTTATTTAAGCATTCTTTTTCTCTAGTTCCTCCAGGCCAAGGATTTGGAGCCCCACCAGGTGCAGCAGGCTTTCCTGGTTACCCACAGCCACCATCCCAATCTTACGGTGGTAGTCCGGCACAAGTTCCAATGCCAGGTAGGTACCAGCTGTCCAGAGGAACATAATACCATATTTTAAGATTTTCAGTTGTTACTGAGTAAACTTAGTGTATATTTGAATTAGTCTTTAGTAAATATTTATAAGAAATACTACTATTAGTGGTGGTGGTTGCTGTCAAATTGATACTGACTCATCGTGCTCCGATGTGTGCAGAGTACAATTGCTCCATAGTGTTTTCATTGTGACTTTTTGGAAGCAGTTCACCAGGCCTGTGTTCTGTGGTGCCCCAGATAGGTTCGAACTGCCAAGCTTTCTACTAGTCAAGTGCTTAATTGTTGGTGCCACCCAGGAACTCCTTACTGAGTACTATTATGAACATATGGTGAAGTATATTAATTTGATGAAAAGTTACTCAGATGAAAATAAGAACTCACTTTTTACATATACTTCTTTTTTCTTGAACTTTTTGTTGTAAATGCAGTGAAGGTTTACAGAGCACATCATTAGTTTTACATTCAACAAATCACATCCAGTGATTGCAGTCTCCTAAATTTAACGTCACGTTTCCCACTTACTCCCTGTGATTCTTGTTTTTTCTTGTTTCATTTACATTTATTGTGACATTGATTGCAATCCCCACAATGTAACAGCATTCTTCCCACTTCCTTCCTCTGTTTCCCTTTTCATTTGTCCTTTTTTCACTTACTGCTTTCTGAACTTTATCCCTGGGCATTCAAAAGGTAATTGAATGTTTTTAAGAAATATGTACCTCCCTAATGTTACTTATTCGCCTTACATGACTATCTGTTGCTTGGCTAAAAGTTGAGCTGTGGGTGAGTTTCATGCTTGAAGGGTGACTGTGGTCCATAGTCTCAGTGATCCCACCAGTAAGTCTGGTCATTTTTATTATTTTGAGTTTTGTTCAACGTTTTTCTCCCACTTTGCCCAAGACCTTCTATTGTAAGCCCTTTCAGAGCAATAGGCAGTGTAGCCAGGCACCATATCTAGTTCTGGTTTCAGGGTCATGGAGACTGACATTTGTGAGATCCGTTAGTTCTTTGGACTAATTGTTTCCATGTGTCTTTGATTTTCTTCATTGTTCTTTCCTCCAGACAGGGAGAGACTAATAATTGTACCTTAGATGGCAATTTACAGGCTTATAAGACCTCAGTCACTACTCACTAAAGAAGTATGTTTAACGTCCTTTGTGGACTGCATTATGCCAATTGACTCTGATGTCCCTAAGACTGTGGTCCAGAGACCCCAGGCCCAGTGTTTGGTAAGAGCTGAGTTCTCATAACTTTGCCCCCTGGATGCTCTGTTATACTAAGAGATAGATTTGCAGTACACATGAATATAAGTGTAGAAATGGCTTCTGCAAACATACATTTTTGGGTGTAATTCCATTCACCTTCCCATACCTGTTCAGCCTGCATATCTATATATCTACTCATAGGTTATAGTTATTACTGTTTTTGCAGGATTGCATACATATGCGATAGTATTCACCTTTATTATTGTTATTATTATTAATATTTTTAGTAATTCCTTTTTATGTGTGTATGAGTTGAGTGACGGTTTACAGATAAGACCATCAGTTTTACATTTTCCAAATTATATGATTTATTTCATTTCAATGATTCTAATCCCCTCCATACAACAATAGTTGTCCCACTTCTTCCTGTGGTTACTCATGTACAAATATACTGTTGCAAACTCTAACATGTTTGGGGGATATATATACACATATACGTACACACACATACATACATATATACGTACACCCACATATAGCATACCCTTCCTCCTGTACCCGTTCAGCCTATGTCTCTGTCCATGTGTCTACCCACAGAACACTGTTGTTCCTGGTTGTGTATAGATCACTGTTTACCTCTATCCCCTTTGGCACCTCCCTGTGTCTACACCTGTTGTCACCACTCTTTTGCCATCTCTCTCTCGTTGTGCATTGCCCTCTCTGTCACCCAAGTTAACATGTATTTATCTTCTAATCAGTGAATTACTCTCCTTTACCTCCCACTGTTGATAACCATCAAAAAATGTTTTAGTATGAAAACCTTGTTTTGAGTTTTTGCAGTAGTTGTCTCATATAGTTTTGTTCTTTTGTGATTGACTTCACTTAGCATGATGTTTATCCATGTTATTAGGTGTTTTAGTCTCACTGTTACTCTTTAGTGTTGTATAATATTCCATTGTGAGTAGATACCAAAGTTTGTTTGGACTCCTGGTGTGGCTTTGTAGGATCAGCACTGGACTACAAGCCACAAGGTCAGCAGTTCAGACCCATCAATTGCTCCTCAGAAACCCTATGTAGAGTTGCTATGAGTTGGAACTGACTAAACAGCACTTAGCAATGATATCAACCAAAGTTTGTTTTTCATGGATAGATCACTTTTTTATATTTTAAAAAATCTGCCCAAAGCCAGCAAGCAGAACCTTCTGGGACTTCTCTGTCCACTCCTGTATTACCAGTGAAACAATCCTGACCTCTTTTCCAAAGGGAATCAGAATTTAGTGTTTTTTCAAAGTATGATTTGTTAGGATCATATGTGGGGGACAGAATATTACAAACCTGTTCTTATGACTAAAGTTGGTTTTAGAATCCAGTAATTATAAAATTGTAACATTAAAAAAGTTATCCTAGTGAATAACATGGTGTAAATGTTGTCATATGTTCCCATGTTCATAACAATCAATGCTGTTTTAAAAAATTCAGTTAATTCCTTGCATTATATTATAAAATAGACACTAGAGGGGGAGAGAAAGGAATAGCGAAAAGCATCACCATAGAAAGCTTGTAAGTCTGTCTTCTGCCTATAACTGATTGGAATACCTAAAATGGGGCTACAACGTGCCCAGTGAAGGAGGCTTCCTGCAGAGCCTCTGCAATACATAAGACTATAGGTGGAAGCCTGAACCACATACAGATCTCCAGAGATGGGAAATTCCCACTTGAAAGGACAAGCAGACCAACCTGGAGTGGCTAGAAGAACAGAAGATGCTTCTTGAAAGAAAGACCTACAGGAAAAATATAAAACCACATAGGCAGACTGACTGTTAATACAAGAACAAGCAACTTGCTTGCCCAGGAAACATCAAGGCAAGTGGTCGGGTCCCCTCAGTGCAAACCCCCTTCCAAGACTAAGACTCATTGGGAATACACACTGTGATTGGTGACCATGCTCGACACCGATAAGGGGAAGTGAGGGAAAAACAGCAATGAAGCAGTGAGCTAAGCCCTACAACGTTCAATAGACTTCTGTGAACCCGGGTGAAGACCTGGTTGGCCAGCAGTGTGGCAAGACCTGGGGACTCTTGGGCCCAGAGTCAGTGTCATAGCCACAGAGGACTAGAGTGGAGAGTAAAGCGTCCAGCTGATAAGAAGAGAGGGCATATGCATAAGAACACCCACACTTGCAGGTAATACCCACTTATCCTGGCTTCAGTGACTGGATGATCAGAGCTCAACCAGAAGTAAAAAGAAGAGGAAAAAGAAAAAAAAAAAACAACAAACTATTCTCATACAATTTGCTGAACTTGACCTACACCTATGGAAGCAGTAGCTCAAAAGAGGGAACAAGTCCTAACAGCAAGAATCATTCCCACCCCCTCCACACACACAGTAGACAGGGATGGGCAACTTGGACATTGGCTACCCCAAATGGGGGGTGGGGGGCTACAAAGGCAAGAAGTGACTGGCTTACAAGCTTTCAAGAGGGAACCTAGATCCAGCGGGCCTGGAGGAAGGTAGAATCTCCAGTGAGTAGTATTCAGTCTGACTAGGCGGGGCTGATGCAATGAAATGCAGGCGGGTCTCTTGTGATACAATAGTGAATAATTGTTATCAGGACTGTTTGTGAGGGTCGGAAATGTAAAGGTAGATGTTTTATAGCAAGGAGGGGAGTGATTAACTTTTCAGTCTAGGAGCGGAGGTCCCTAGGACTATCAAGGGAGAAGAGCAGAGAGCGGGACCCTACCCAGAGAAGCAGTGATGCCTGAAATGGAGCCGCAGATGATGACGTGGAGCAATGGAGCAGCTGGAGACTTTAGATCCAGAGAGGGAGAGCGACTATGTGCTGAAGACCTGGGGGGTATGGGGGAAGGATTGCATGGAGGGGATTGTAACCATGGCAGTGAAACTGTATACAATAGAATGAATGTAAAACTAATGTTCTCCCATGTAAACGATCACATAATTCACAATAAAACATTAAAAAAAAAAAATTCAATTCAGTTAGGAAAAAAAACAAAACCTGTTTGAATTTTGGGTTGGTTTTATTTTTAACTTGTAGGTGGCTTTCCTGGAGGACAGATGCCCTCTCAGTATCCTGGAGGTCAAGTTCCTTTCCCTAACCAGGTATTTCTGCACTTCCTTTTTTTTTTTTCTCGGGGTTTTTTGTTTTGTTTTTTTTTTTACTTAAAAATTTTTTTTTTTATTTTCTGCACTTACTTTTTAAATTTAGTCTAGGTAATTTTATAATGGTAATTGGAGGCTCCCATAAAGCAGAGGAGATGATGGTCTGTCACAGTAACTTACGACTGTAATGTCTAATCATGCTCTGCTTGGTCCATGTGCTTTAAGTGTAGGCCCTTCTCACAGTTGATGATGCTGATAGCTTTTTCCTAGATTCATATGGCGTCTTGGCATTGATTTTACTTGTTTATTCTCTTCTTCCCCTGACAATTAAAACCATGAACTTCGGTGACTGTGTGATTGACATTTCTAGCGGTGTCTTATGGAGGGTGGTTTTCTTTCCCATTGTTATCTTCTTAACTTTGCACTCTTCTTTCAGATCAGTACAGAGTCCTTTTCTTCCTATCCTGTTTTCTCTCCTGTTTCTTTGGATTATAGCAGTGAAGTGAGTAAGGTTTTCTGATATTCACTAATCACTAGGTTCCCTCCACTGTATGTGCCTTCATTTGTTTCTGATTTCTAATGTACTTATCTCACCATTTCCTATTGTTGTTAAGTGCTATTGAGCCAATTCTTATTCATAGCAACCCTGTATTGGGATTTCCTAAAGGCAGCTGGTAGTTTGAAACGCTGACCTTGCAGGTAGGAGTCCAGGACTTACCCTACAGTGCCACACCACTTCCTATGGGGTTGGTGTGCTGTGGAGTCAGTTCCAACTCACAGCGACCCTGCATAGGGTTACTGAGGCTATTTTTTTTTTTTTTTTTTTTTAAGTTTTTATTGTGAATTGATTGTTTACATGCAGAACTTCGGTTTTACACTTACTGTCTCATTGCAATGATTATAGTCCCCTCTGTGTGTATCATCATTCAACAGTATTTGCTTCTATTCCCTCTGTTTTTTTTGGGGGGTGGGTGGGTGGTGAATATACAGATTAACACTCAGGACTATATAATCATTTAAACAGCTAAAGGGCACATTCTGCAAGCCTGCCTCCTGACTGTTAGCATACAACCTTTCTCCTTCCATGAGTCTAGAGTCCTCAGCTATTCTATCATCTCCATACCATTATCTCTGCCGAGGCTGTAAAGTCTTTACAGTTCCTTACTGTTTCCTCTAGGGTTCAACTATATCTCTTTTATATTTATGTCCCTGCAGTGCTTAGTAGGTGTCTTGGTGCAGTGCTGTAGGGTGTACACTGGTCTGCTAACTGCAAAGTTGGCAGTTCAGACCCATTAGCCGCTCCTCAGAAACCCTTTCCAGGATTGCTATGAGTCAGAACCAACGTCACTTAGCAACAATAACAAGTGTCTGGTGTGGTGCTGTAGGATAACGCACTGAACTGCAAGGTTGGCACTGCAAATTCCAGCCTTTCCACAGAAACCCTGTACAGCATTGCTATGAGTCAGAACCGACTCTGTAGCATTTAGCAACCAAAAACAACACCTGTTGGGCTTTAAACATGGTAGCTAATTCATAGCTGCTGAATCGTTTTCTCAATAACCCTAGATGGTACCATCTTTCATTATATATGTAGCTCCTTATTTTAACACTAAATTTCACTCTTTAATTAGCTTGTTAATTCATTAATATCTTACCCCTTTACTAGGAACATAAGTGGTATACTTTTATGCTTATCTTTGTTCTAGTTTTCTCATTGGCTTCCATTTTGTATATTCATTATGATTTGGCATTTCAGGCTTATATTGGGGGGCACTTACTCCCCGAATTTAAGGAATTTGCACTCCAGAGAGGGTAGAAAATATGTCCACGGTTACACAACTCATGAAGGAGGAGAGAGTAGTGCTGCTAGCACTATGCTGACTCCCAGACAGTGGGCTTTCACATAACACTGTTTTTCAGATACAGAGGAAATTGTTTTCAATCCTTTTTTTACTGTTGAAGTTTGATTGCTAGTAATATTATAAATTTAAAGCTATTTTAATCATTTTTGGTATGAGAATATTTACTTTGAGTATGCATATGAGGGGGCTTCAGAAAGTTTGTGAAAAAATTTCCTTACCTTTTTGTGTTTTTTTACTTGTATATTACGAATTGAGTGAAGGTTTACAGAACAGGTCATCAGTTTGTTTTTATCAGGAATGAGTGTTGGGTTCTGTCAAATGCCTTTTCTTTATCAGCTGATATGATTATGTGATTTTTTTCTTTATGTGGTGGATTACTTAATGTTGGTTGTTTTTGTAATATTGAACCATCCCTGCATAGCTGGTATGAGTTCCTCTTGGTCATGATATATTATTACTTTTTTTATATTATTGCTGGTTTCTATTTGTTAGGATTTTGTTGAGAATTTTTGCATCTGTGTTCATAAGGGATATTGGTCCATTCTTTCTTAGTGGTATCTTTGCCTGGTTTTGGTATCCGAGTTTTGTTTGCTTCATAAAATCAATCTGGGAGTTTTCCATCATTTTTATATTATGGACTAGTTTGAGTAGACTTAGTGTCAGCTCTTCTCTGAATGTTTGGTAGAATTCACAGGAAAGCCATCTGGGCCTGGACTTTTTTTAGTTGGGCGGTTTTTTAATGACTTGATAAATTTCTTCTTTTGTAATAGGCGTGTTCAAGTTTAATACTTCCCCCTGTGTTAGTTTAGGTAAGTTGTATGTTTCTAGAAATTTGGCCATTTCTTCTAGATTTTCAAATTTATTTTAGTGCAAGTCTTAATAATATTCTGTTATCCTTTTAATTTCTGTTGGTTCTGTCGTGACATCACCCATAAATTTCTTTTGTGTTATTTGTATATTCTTTTTTTGTTCGATTTGCCAATGGTTTGTTGATTTTATTAATCCTTTCAAAGAACCAACTTCTTGTCTTCGTGTTTCTTTTTTCTGTTTCACCGATTTCTACTCTAACCTTTATTATTTCTTTTATTCTGGTGACTGTAGGCTTAATTCACTACTCTTTTTCTAATTGTTAAAGATGTTTGGTTAAGTTGTTGATTTTGGTTCTTCTTTTTGAGTGTGTGCATTTATTTCTATAAATTGCCCTCTGAGCACTGCTTTTGCTGTGTCCCAAAGGTTTTGGTAGATTGTGTTTTCATTCTCATTTAACTCAAGGAATCTTTTTTTATTTCATTTTTTCAATTTGATCTATTATTCAGTGTGTTTCTGAATCCAATCAAGGGTCAAAGGTTGCATTTACAGTTATGTGTCCTAAATTTCCTTTATTCCTTTAGTCTTCATCATTCATAACCTTAACTTTTGAAGAATCCTGTTATGGCACCGTAAGATTAGCACTGGACTGCAGTGTCGGTTTGAACTGCAAAGTTGACAGTTCAAACTCAGAAGCTGCTCCTCAGATACCCTATACAGGGTTGCTATTAGCCAGAAAAGACTCAATGGTATTTAGTAACAACACAAAACAATTAGAAACCTAGTTGGACACCTTATATTCTGCATCAGTAAACCATTATTATAATGTCTTTAAATCAAATGCCTTGTCACTTACCACATACTATCCAGGAATCAGTCTCCTTTCACCCTATTCTGCCAAAAAGGAAACTAAGGCATATTAAGATTGCTACTTTAATGTCAGAAGCTTGACCATTTGTCTGTCTTAAATAAGGGTAAGTCTTTCCTGACTGTTCCCTAATGGACCCTAGTGTAAGTGTGAATTGACACAACAGCAGTGGATAATAACATGATCCTGGGCCGTGGTGGTTCATGTGTGAAATTCTCACCTGTGCAGGAGACCCAGGTTCACTTTATGGCTATTGTACCTCATTCATAACCATCACTCATCTGTCAGTGGACTTGTGTGTGGTGCTATGATACCAAATAGGTTTCAGTGGAGCTTCCATTCTTAAGACAGACTTAGGAAGAAAGAACTGGTGATATCCTTCCACAAATCAGCCAGTGAAACCAATAGATCACAACAGTCAAATCTCATTGTTCATGGGATCACCAATGTACTAGGGGTAGAACCTAGCAACATGAAAATGTTTTTGTCCTTACCCTAAAATCCAAACACTGGCCTCCTAGCCTAAGAATGAGATCTTGGGAAATCTTGACTTGTGAGTCTGCTTTTAATGCTGTGTCTTATGTTTTCAGCCTGCTGCAATGACTCAGGGATATCAAGGAACAATCCGACCTGCTTCCAACTTTGATGCCTTGAAAGATGCAGAAATTCTCCGAAAAGCAATGAAGGGTTTTGGTAAGAAAACCTTTAAAGTTTTGTCTAAGTTTAGAGTCCTTATTCTACGAAATGGCCTGAAGGAAAACCTAGCTGGACTCCATCTGTAATGAAACATGTCTGTCTTTCAGGGACAGACGAGCAGGCAATTGTGGATGTTGTGGCCAACCGTTCCAACGATCAAAGGCAAAAAATTAAAGCAGCTTTTAAGACCATGTACGGCAAGGTATGTTTTATTTTGCTATTTCTTTCCTGGAGTGAGCAGCAATACTGACCTATAAACTCCATGTTCATGTTAGATTGGGCCATTTCTCTGCACCTGTAGTACAAGTAGAGCTAGTGAAACTTAGAAACCTCACAAGTGGTGTATTCACTTTTTGTTCTATTTTAAAGCCTTTAGCAGGCCTTGATCTTACAGTCATGCTGGATACTGGGTCTTATCTGTGACAGCTGTACAGTAGAAAGTAGACTACTATTAGGATTATAATCAAGAATTTGATATTCCTCATTGATTCCCACTCGTTCCTTACAGTGGGTTCAAGGCCTTCATAGTATAGCCTCTATTTATTCCTGGACCTTAACATCATCTTCCACTTGTCTCCCTGCCTCTACACATATTCTGTATTACTTTTATGTGGGAATTCTTGCCATTCCTTTCACATGCCATATCTTTCACAGTTCTATGCTTTGAATATTAATTTTTTTGTTTTTGTTTAGAACACTTCTTCCTCTCTATCTACTTGGCAAATTTCTTCTGTAAGATTCAGCTTAAATATCAGATACTCTGTGACACTCTTCTCATTGCTCTGAGCAGAATTTAACTGCTTCTTCCACTGACCCCATTGTTGTTGTTGTTGTTGTTGTTGTCATGTGCTTCTAAGACCATAGTCACTACTTACCAAGGAGGATATAGAACACTGTGTTTGTGAACTATGCTCCTGAGCCCCTAGGCCCAGTGACTAATTCCTTCACGGTATCAGGTATGGCTAGGAAACACAGGCAGACTTTGCCCCCTGTAGTCAGTCAGTCAGTATTTATTCTGTCCTATTGGATGCCAGCTACCATAGAGTAGGCCCCAACTCCTAGCAACTCTACATAGGGACTCCGAGGCTGTAAATCTTTACAGGAACCGAAAGCTTCATTTTTCTCCCACAGTACAGCTGTAGGTAGCTTTGAACTACTGACCTTGAGGGTATCAGTCTGACTTATAACTACTGCACTACTGAGCTCCTTACTTTATCCTGTTACTAAGAGCCATTTAGTCAGTTACAACCATACGACGCAGTATAAGGTTTCCATGGAGCAACTGGGTGAGCTTGAACCGCCAACCTTGTGGTTCAAACCGAGTTTGCAGTACAGCACATTAACCCACAGCACCACACCAGAACTCTTACCTTATCCTTGTTGTTGTTGTTGTTATGTGCCATCGAGTCGGTTCCCACCCATAGCGACCCTGTATAGGGTTTCCGAGGGTGTAAATCTTTACGGGAGTAGAAAGCCTCATCTTTCTCCCGCGGAGCAGCTGGTAGTTTCGAACCGCTGACCTTAAGGTTCGCAGTCCGATTCGTAACCACTACGCTACCAGAGCTCCTTTTACCTTATCCTAGCAACCAGTTATTATATCTATTGATCTGATCTGTAAAATGACTCTTTAAAATTGTTTTCTACATACCTCCCCCCATTTTCCATTGCTCTAGCAACCAGTTATTATATCTATTGATCTGATCTGTAAAATGACTCTTTAAAATTGTTTTCTACATACCTCCCCCCATTTTCCATTGCTCAAGTCCAGGACTTTTTCACTTATTATCTAAATAGTCCAATCGCTTAAAAGTTCTCATCTATAGCCTCTGTGGTCCCATAAACCATCTTGCATATTACTGCTACAATAATGCCATTTTCTAGCATAAAAATTTTCAGTGGCTCCTTTCCAGAATGTCTGTTTCTTTAGGTTGGAATCCAAGGTAATAACCCAAGTATATAGTTATTTACTTTGTCTTCCTATTTTATAAAAACCTTCCTCTCTAACAAAATTCTCTTCTTATTCCATTTGACTACCTTTGCTAATAATATTTGCGGGTATACAAGTGGTTTTTAACCCTAGATGAGCGTCAAAACCTCCTATGGATTTTAAAAAGGTGCACACAGAATCTCTGAGTCTTAGTCCTGGACAGTGATTGTTTTCAAAAGCTCCACAGTTGATTTTAAAGCAACAGCTAAGACTGAAAACTCTTTCACTGTTCCGTGTTTATATTTTTTCTTCTTGAGTGAAATACCTTTCTTCTTTTTTACTTGTTAATTTTAATACAATCTTCAAGATCTCAGAGGGAGCCCTGGTGGTGTGGTGGTTAAATCACTCCACTGCTAACCAGAAGGTCAGCAGTTTGAATCCACTGTCTATTCTATGGGAGAAATAGAACAATGGACACCTGATGGTGAAGTTCTACTCTGTCCAACAGGGCTGCTTGCTGTGAGTTGGAATCAACTCAATGGCTGTGGATTTGGTTTGGTTTTGGGTTCAAGACTTGGACTGAAAGCTTTCCATATGTTCTTTGGTCCACTCTAAACTTTTTCTGTTTCAATTTTCTCTATTATTTATTTCTGCCCTTCTCATCTGGTGCTGTTGTACAAGTTGCTTTATATAGTCTCTGTGATCTTTTCACTAAGAATGAGATAATGCTGGTTTGCTCATTCTCATGGAACCTAAAACAGTTTCTTGTACTAAATAAAGAACTGTTTTTACCCCTGATTCCTTTCTCTCAACGTGTGCCTTGTACTTGGTAGGACTGCAGCCAAAATTTATTCATTGCTGATTGACAGAATGAATAAATAACAAACTAAACATATATATTTTCTTATTTCCGAGTATAGAAGATGTCGGTGTAAAACTTAGGTTTTCATACAACAATTCCATTTTTCTGTAATTTCCTCCAAATAATTTTAGTAACAAAATTTGATATGCAAATATACTTAAATAGCATTTGTAATTAAACAGGATTTAATCAAAGACCTCAAATCAGAGTTAAGTGGAAATATGGAAGAACTGATCCTTGCCTTGTTCATGCCATCCACATATTATGATGCCTGGAGCTTACGGAATGCAATGAAGGTACTACATGTTGTTTACTTTGGCTATCTTACCCTGTTTCAGAAGTAAAACCCCAGAATTGTGGCTATTCTCAGTTTACAGTGATGGCTAAATCAGTGCATTATTTCACATCATCTTCAGTTCTGAAGGCCAAAGAAATATATGCTGGAACCGTAAGATTTAATTACTTTCAGAGGGGTTTTTGGTTTTGTTTATGTAATTTCTCCTTTCTTTATTTCACATAGGGAGCAGGAACTCAGGAACGGGTATTGATTGAGATTTTGTGCACAAGAACAAATCAGGAAATCCGAGAAATTGTCAGATGTTATGGATCAGAATTTGGACGAGACCTTGAACAGGACATCAGGTCGGATACCTCAGGACATTTTGAACGTTTACTTGTTTCCATGTGCCAGGTAAGAATGTTTGAGTTGGAGGGAACGTTTTTTTCTCCCTGTTACCAGTGCTTTTAATATTTAGCTGTCTTGAAATCTTGCTGTTTCTAAGAGTGACAACACAGAATTCAATGTAGTGTTTAGCTATCCTGATAGTACACAGGATTGGGCAGTACAAAGTAGGTGGACTTTTAAGAGTAAAGAGAGCCCCTGAAACTATTGCCCTAATATAATCTTTAAACCTTCAGTCAGAATTATCCCCTGAAGTTGTCTTAAAACCAAACAATAGTTTAGCCTCGCTCGTAAAAAATGTCTGCCTGGAGCCTAATGCTTTTTAAAGAACTTTATAAGATCAAATTGACAGCAGCAACTCAAAAGATGAGCTAGGACTCTTAAGAGTCAGGAAATAGATGTTAATGGAGGAACAGCTCAGACAAGGAGGCTAAGTAAGAATGGTTGTCTACCATTCCAATCAACATCACTGAATTGTACATGTAAAAATTGTTGAATTTGGTCTGTTTTAATGTGCATATTATCTCAACTATAAAATAATAGATTAAGGGAGGTAGTTTCAGAAAGGTTCTACAGTCTTGTACAAGGTTGTGAAGTGTATGGATGGGGAAGAAGCAAATGAACTGAAGGAAATTAAATTCAGCTACACTGGAGAGGTAATTTACGTACACTAGAGAAATTAAATTTACCTTAACAGCAGAGGAGTTGGTTAAGAAGAACCAAGAACAGAGATTTAATGCTCAAGACAATTTTTAAGACTTAGAGTACTGAGTTTTCTTTACATAGGGTTTAAAAACTGGCCCATTTAAAAAGCAGAGACCTCTTCCATGGAGTGAGCAGAGTAGAGGCCTTTCTAGGAAACTGGGACAGCATGGTGTGTATTTGAACTTAAAGGCAATAATCTAGGAAGTTTTTCCTGTGCTCTTCGCACCCATTTGGAATATGCCTCTTCATATACTTCGTGCAAGTCCTCTTTACTTCAGAGGCTAGTTCTCCACCTTCAAGGAACCCCTCTCTACTTTGTTCCTCAGACATAGCACTGAGACTCCAGGGAGCAGCCTTTTGTTTAGGCTTGTGTTTCTGTTTTTGGAAGAATTCAGCTGTCTGTTTAAGCTTAAACTCTTTTTCAGGTCTGTAGCTTCCTTCCCTCCCATCTGTCCAAGGACAATTTAATATACAAATTAACAGTCTAGATGAACTTGAGTTATTTATAACTTCCCAAAAGCTCATGTGCTTTTTTTGTTTTAAACTTAGATTAAGTGATTGCACTTGGTCAAAGAAAGGAGTTCAGTGAAGCCCTCCGTATTGTATCCTTCCTCTCTTGACTTAAACTCCTTGACAGCAGAGATCTTGTCTCTCTTGTGCCCTACCACCTCGCCTAGTGCCTGTTTGATACTGGTTAGTTGCTTGAATGAATACTTGATTTCATGGTAAGAACCCTCTCTCTCCTTCCAGGTGCGAGGTGTAGTTTGATCCCAATGGTGGCTCCTTATCTCTCAGTAGAGGCTGCATGTGACTATGATGTGGAACAGGTTTCAGCAGAGCTTCCAGACTAAGACTAGAAAGAAAGGCCTGGTTATTTCTGTAAACGAGCCAATGAAACCCTGTGGCCCAGAACCACCCAGTCTTTTGTGTGATAAGTCAGTGACAGACTTGATAGCAGCTAACAACAAGGAGAGTTTTTCATTTTGTTGTTGTTGTTGTTGTTAGGTGCCATCAAGTCGGTTCCAACCCATAGCAACCTTATGCACAGCAGAAAGAAACACTGACTGATCCTGGGTCAACCTCACTACTGTTGACATGCTTGAGGCCATCGATGCTGCCACTTGGCCAATCCATCTCGTTGGGGGTCTTCCTCTTTCTTTCTGACCCTCCACCTTACCAAACATGATATCCTTCTCCAGCGACTGGTCCCTCCTGACAATATGTCCAAAGTATGACAGATGAAGTTTGGCCATCTTGGCCTCCAAGAAGCACTTTGGCTGCATTCTTCCAAAATGGATCTATTGGTTCTTTTGGCAGCCCATGGCACTTTCAGTATTCTCCTCCAACACCATAACTCAAAGGTATCGATTCTTCTACGGTCTTCCTTATTCACTTTCCAGCTTTCACATGCACATGAGGTTATTGAAAATGCGATGGCTTGGGTTAGGCGCACCTTAGTCCTCAAGCTGACACCTTTGCTCTTCAACACTTTAAAAGGTCTTGTGCAGCAGATTTGCCTAATGCAATACATTGTTTGATTTCTTGATTGCTGCTTCCATGAGTGTGGAAAGTTGATCCAAGAAGAATGAAGTCTTTGACAACTTCAATCTTATCTCTGTTGATAAGAATGTTGTTTATTGGTCCAGTGGTGAGGATTTTTGTTTTCTTGACATTGAGATGTAATCCGTACCAAAGGCTGTGCTCTTGGATCTTCTTCAGTAAATGTTTTAAGTTCTCTTCACTTTCAGCAAGCAAGGTTGTATCATCTGCGTATTGCTGGTTGTTAATGAGTCTTCCTCCAATTCTGATGCCATGTTTTTCTTCATATAAGCCAGCTTCTCAGATTATTTGCTCAGCATACAGGTTGAATAAGTATGGTGAAAGAATACAACCTTGTTGCACACCTTTTTTAATTTTAAACCA